CACACACACACACACACACACACACACAGTGTATATGACCCGCTCATTTCTTGTGCTCATGACACATGTACAAGCAGATTTTTACAATGCTTTTGATGTATGTACGTTTTGTTTCTGTCTCATTTTCCTCTGATCACTGAAGTACGGCAACTCAGGAGGACCTCTCATCAACTTGGTGAGTAGCGTTGGGATTTTACAAAATAGATCTAAATTAATCAGCCTTAGAAATCAATGACCCTCTGGATAAATTACATGTATCTGCATATCATACACTGGATTATAATACACTTGGAACTACAAATTATTTGGAGCAAAGGATTTCAAACTACTATTCATCCTCCTTCTCTTCTTACAATTACTCTTATTGTTCCCACAAATCAGGATTGTAAACATGTTCAGTAAAATAAAAACATGCAGTTTTCTTGAGGTATGAATTTTGATTCCCAAAAGAAAGACAGAAAATCTATCGATAAAGCTCTTCACACTGACACAGGAGCTGAGTTACACACATAACCAGATTCCAGATTTTCTGAATGTCTGTAAAAAGTAGAGGCATTTGGAGAGCACATACCCACACATCTTGTGATGTTGAAAAGAGAAAAGATTCTTGACTTTATCCAGATCTGCTTGAAATTTGAATGGGTTCCTCCTTATGTCCTTATGTATTTAAATCTTGAATGGATTTAACAAATGTTCATTGAATTCTGCCATATTTTGTGTGTGTGTGTGTGTGTGTGTGTGTGTGTGTGTGTGTGTTTGCAGGATGGGGAGGTGATCGGCATCAACACTCTGAAAGTGACAGCAGGAATCTCCTTCGCTATCCCCTCAGACAGGATCAGCCGCTTCCTCACAGAGTCACAGACCAAACACAGCAAAGGTCAGAGGTCAAAGCTTCTGGAGCCAAATGGCTTAAAAAACCAAACAATTTCAAATAGAATAGTCTGAGTAGTCTGAGTCTGAGTACGTGTAGAAATACATTGAAGAAGTAATTCCCTATATTTCTCAGTAAACCCTCCTCCACTTGTGACAGAAAAGACGAGACTGCAGAGACGACTCACGGAGGAGCCACAGTCTGATGCGGGTGAGTGATGGTCACGACGAAACTTCCCCCTCTGTTTAAGTGTTTGAGGATTTCTGGAAGATTAATGTCGTGCTTTTGTTCTCAGAAGTAAAGAGACGTTTCTTAGGCATCAGGATGCTCACAATCACCACAGAGTGAGTTCTAACCACAAACTGTTCCACATTAGATCAACGCTTTATCTGGATTTCTGTTCAATGATGATTTAAGTAGCATCTGAAAAGAAGCAGGCTAAATGTTGCATGCATCAGTATTTGTATTATTCATTCATTTATTTCTGTGTCTTTCAGTCTAGTAGCAGAGTTAAAGCATAATTATCCAGACTTTCCTGACATCCACAGTGGAGTGTTTGTGCAGCAGGTCATACCGAACACTGCAGCAGAAAAGTATGTTCTCACACACACACACACACACACACACACAG